CGTGGGTTCGAATCCCGCTCGTGACACTGACTTTTTTATCTCAATTAAAAACTTTGATAAATTGAAAGATATTAATTGGTCAAGCGGACCACGGAAACTAGTGAATTTATGTTTTACGTTCCTTTTACTACATGAATATTAAAAAAATATATCTATATTTGATTTAAAACTATAAATATGAGGAGTTTTAATTATTTGGCTAACTTTAGAGGGCAAATGGTCTACAGTTATAGCATTTCGAGAAGATTTGGCCATAACTTCAACTGACGCCCTCACTTCCTAGTTATCTTTTATAAATTATTAATTACAATTAACACGACCAACGTGGTTTGAAACTGTAAATATAAGGGTTTTAATTGTATTGGTGAACATAGGAGATGAATTCTGGTACTGATTGGGTATAACTTCAATTGACAGCATGACATTCTTATTTAGTTCCTTTAAAAAAATTATCGCTAACAAAAAATATAATAATTTCATTTAAACACTTAACATTTAACTGCCGGCCTCGCGTTCTTATTGAACTTTTACAAATGTATTAATAAAAATAAAAAGAGAACCAATTTGCTTTTAAATTGTGTACATGAGATACATCGACTGTATAAATTTACCTAAGAGAAAAAGATCCTCAACTGCAGTATTTTGAGGGGAAAACAGAGTCACTGACACCATCTTCTTATTTATTTTTTGCCACAACAACAAAATAAGAGCTTTAAAACTTTACATAAAAGGCTTTTAAACTGTTTGGTGAACCTAAGAGACAAAACGACCACTCCAAATAGTATTTGTAGAGCAACTGATTGGTCATAACCTTAAATGATATTAATTAAGGTTTTTAGTTGAGATAAAAAAAGTCAGTGCCACGAGCGGGATTCGAACCCACGATCTTCGGCTAGACTAGACGCTGCTCTACCACTTGACCTATCGTGACTTTTTTATCTCTTAATAATATTTTTATCTCGTAATTACTTAACTGAAAGCCTCATGTCTTTATTTATCTTTTATAAAATGGATAATAACAAAATAAGAACCTAGTTTGTTTAAAACGGTGTTGTGTGAAGTGTTTTAACTGTTTGACGAACCTAGAAAAAAAGGCCACAATTATGGTATTTGGAGAATATAATTGGTGAGATAAACTGAGTGGCCATAAGCCTAACTGTCAGTTTTACCTTTTTATTGATATTTTAAAAATTACGAACAAAATATATATCACGGCTTGATTTAAAACTTAAAATTTGGAGAGAAATTGTTTGATCATAACCTTAACTGACAGTTTCTTGAAAGCATTATTAGCCATTATTAAAAAACAAGATTAAGATGATGGATAGGAAATTGTCTTTTCCACAATAGGTGTAGTACCTATTACCTGTAGGTACCTATTGTAGAAAAGACAATTTATATCCTTTCCAACTGCCTATTATGGAGTTCCACAAAATCGGAAGTACACCATAAAATTTTTAAAAAAGATAGATAAATAATTAAGGATAATTTGGTTCAATGCTGTATATGTGTTTTGGTTAGGGGAAACTTGGAGAAAAAAAGGGTCACAGTTATGTTATTTGGAGATAAACCAATTCGTATAAACTTAAGAAAAAATTGTTTAAATATTTTTGGATAAATATAAAATCTTTTGATAAAAAAGTGAACATATTAATTTTTTTTATTTCTCTTTTATTAAATAATTCCACGGTGGTACAAGGTATTTTAGCTATTTTGCGATCCCAAGTGAAAAGTATGCTTGCCTTTGCCGATTAATTGAACCATTTTTTTTTTTAAATTTGAAGTAGTTTTCTCGTTAGTTCCTCAAAACAAAAGTAGAAAAGACAATTATTTCCTTCCCAACTGCTTACTATGGAGTTTCACAAAATCAGAAGTACACCATAAAAAAATATATATATAAATAATTAAGGATAATTTGGTTTAATACTGTATATATGAAGTGTTTTGGTTAGGCGAACCTTGGAGAAAAAAGGGCCACAGTTAGTTATTTGGAGATAAACCAATCCGTTTAAACTTAAGAAAAAAATTGTTTCTATATTTTTGGATAAATATAGAATTTTTTGATAAAAAACTGAACATATTAATTTTTTATTTATCTTTTATTAAATAATTCCACGGTGGTACAAGGTATTTTAACTATTTTGCGATCCCACGTGAAAAGTATGCTTGCGTTTGCCGATTAATTGATCCATTTTTTTTTTTTTTAAATTTGAAGTAGTTTTCTCGTTGGTTTGTCAAAACTGATCGTTTAAACAATTTAATCAACATCAACTCCAAGGGAAAGCTGAATATGACAAGAGTGATGACTCCGTGAACCGTCAGTCCCAGGGATATCGTCACTCGGTGTAATACCTGGATACCCTTTCTTCTTCTTTTTTTCGTACAGTCATCCTCGTAGATTTTCGTACCGATGCGAAATAATCGATGATCGACCTCTCATCCCCGGCCTCAGAAATTAACCGGCGACCCTTTTCTTCCAGCTCAGAAGGACTTCGTGACCGACGGCCTCGGCCTCGTGATAATGACAAAGACACCACTAGGCAATCGAAACTCGAAGGCTTAATTAAACATTTTACGTCCTATTGTAAATTTATTTTCTTCTTGGAGAAGTATTTACGTTGTAAAAGCGAACTTGAATTTTAAACGTGTGAACATGAATTTACATGAATTTAACATCAATGAATATCAACCATCAAAAAAGATTTTCTATATCTTGCTAAATGACTTATGAAAATATTGGTAGGTTGAATCGTTCACGAGTTGCGAATCGTATGATTCGATCAATTTAACCAATTTTAGGTCCGTTTTGTCTCGCTTTATCGACGGTGAACAAGACGACTTCATCGACTCTTTTTCAAAAGTATCGATTAATCGGGCTGTGTTTTGTGTCAGTTCGGACACAGAAGGGGCAACGGGTTCTCCGATTGTTCCCCGACGACGGGATAGCACTTTCCATCGCACCACGTCACCCCCAAAACCGCGCTTCAATACATCAATCACAAAGGTATAAAAGAAGCCATAATTGCACCGCTATCATCGCCTTTACAGGGCTTATCCAACATGGCAAACATTCTGAACGAGGCCCAGAGCTCAACAACTAGACGTTCATTCAACATTCTTCAAAAATTCACACATATCTAGATGTGTTGTGTGTTTGTGCTCTTTCAATTGATGAGAAAGCCAAATTTACTTTCCTACGTATAAAATTAATTAAAAGACAGAAGAGAAATTAGATAATTAACGTTTAACCGACGACGGAATAAAAGCTTGCCAATTTTTATTTCTAATCGTGATTTGGCTTTTCTTTTGTGGATTGATGAACGTCCGCCTGTGATTTCTATCTACGTATATACTTCTCTATATCCATTTATCTTTCTCTCTCTCGTTCTCTCTTTCTTCCTTCCTTCCTTCCTTCATTCTTTCCGTCCTTCCTTCCTTTCATTCTCTCTCCTACTGTTATTTTTATATTAACTATTATTATTTAGTATTGTTAATTATTTTTATATCTCCATTCTTTTTTCTGCTCTCTCTCTCATTCTCTTTTTTTTCCATTCTTCTACTCTCTAATTATTTTTATATCCTCATTCTTTTTTCTGCTCTCTATTTCTCTACCTCTCTTGCTTTCTCTCTCTCTCTCTCTCTCTCTCTCTCTCTCTCTCTTCGTTCCATTCTTCTTCTCTCTAATTATTTTTATATCCTCATTCTTTTTTCTGCTCTCTATTTCTCTCTCTCTCCCCCTTTATCTCTCACTTTCTCTCTCTCTCTGTCTCTCTCTCTCCTCTCTCTCTCTCTCTCTCTCTCTCTCTCTCTCTCTCTCTCTTTGTCTTTGTTCCATTCTTCTTCTCTCGAATTATTTTTATACCTCATTATTTTTTCCTCTCTCTATTTCTCTCTCTCTCTCTCTCTCTCTCTCTCTCTCTCTCTCTCTCTTTGTTCCATTCTTCTTCTCTCTAATTATTTTTATACCCTCATTCTTTTTTCTGCTATCTATTTTTCTCTCTCTCTCTCTCTCTCTCTCATTCTCCTTTTTTTCCATTCTTCTACTCTAATTATTTTTATATCCTCATTCTTTTTTCTGCTTTCTCTCTCTCTCTCTCTCATTCTTTAATTTTGTTTCATTCTTCTACTCTCTAATTATTTTTATCCTCATTATTTTTTCTACTATCCCCCTTCTCTCTCTCTCTCTCTTTGTTCCATTCTTGTACTCTCGAATTATTTTTATACCTCATTCTTTTTTCCGCTCTCTATTTCTATTTCTCTCTCTCTCTATTTCTATTTCTCTCTCTCTCTCTCTCTCTCTCTCATTCTTTGTTCCATTCTTTACTCTCTAATTATTTTAATTTTTTTATCGTCATTCTTTTTCTTCAGTCTATCTCTCACTCTCTCTCTCTCTCTTTCCCATTCTTTAACTTTGTTCCATTCTTCTACTCTCTAATTATTTTTATATCCTTATTCTTTTTTCTTCTCTCTATCAAGTTGTTGGTATCTTTTTTTTTAACAACAGTTCAACGAATCTGTAGATTGCAATGGACTGTAATCGTTTGATTTGTTGTGAATCATCTAATCACAACGTAGTCACAAAATTGCACACATCGCTATCAGTAAATCAGTAAAGAATGGCAATAAAATTAAATAGGATAATCAAAAGCCAATCTAAAACTATGCTAATGACATGCATTTTAATGAGGATCGCTTCCATGTCGACTTTTGCAGCTACTGGACTATTACATAATGGACTAGGTGAGTCAGGTGGATTTTATCTTAAGACACACTCTGCAATTATTCTCTAAGTGGCAGAACACTATCACCTTGATTATGGAGTAGGAAAAGGTTTTTTTACTATTGGAAACAACCTGTGATAAGATAGTAAGTTGGAAGGATTTATTATAGGAGGATGTGGGTTTTTTTGCTGGTTTCTCCCTAAAAGGTCTGTTCGTATATTGTTGAGTGACTTTTATTAACCAATCGTTTTGTTTTAAATGATAAAAAGATTTACTCACTGGTAGTACATATGCGCCCCGACGTAAAGGACGACGATGATGTTTAGGACCACACTGAGCCGGATGAGCCAACTGCGTCTCTGCAACATTGTCGGGCTGGTCCGAAAAATGCATAACACCAGGGGAGATCTGCGGACAGAACGGACAGTTTTTCAGAGTCTTGTTTCACACTTCGGAGATGCAAAAGAAACTGGCCGAACGATCGGCTGCGTGAGTCAGAGCGGTGGGGTTAAGGCGCTAACAGGGGCGCTCAAGTTCAATTCCAGGAATGTCAAGTCCCCCAGGACACCTGTTATCCCAAGGTATCGGGTGAATGCACAGCTTCCCACTAAACCCATTAAAAAGGTGGGGGTTTTTTAATCGAAAAAATGGCTTATGCGTCATCGTTATGAAAGGTTATACTTGTATAAGCTCGTTTCCACCACCGGAAGCGCTTTTGTTCCATTTTAACCTATTTTTCACACTTCTATGTATATATAAAATAATTTTAAACAATGACTACAATTTAAGAAAATTTAATGATTGTAGAATTTCAACAACTTTCGTCAGCTTCATCATTGTCAACAGTACTCCGATTGTATATGTTTTTAATTTTTTTGATTTTCTTTTTCAATGATTGAAACATTGTTTCTACGGCATCGTTCGCTGGGGTTATGATCTGTACAATTACATTTACACCACAATGAGCGATTTTATTTTGTTTTAAAATTTTTGGCTTAAAAAAACTAGCACGAGGTACATTTAAATTCATACAAATTTCTATTAATTAAATCTACGCACGTGAACATATTTAGAAAAATGATTGTGACTATTAAATAGTATAGAAATTTCATTTTCACGTTTTTACTAAGGACTCCATCACCATCACCCTAATAATTTTTACAATTATTTTCATTGAGGGGTTCGATTGTACGTCATATTCATCATTACTGTACAAGGAAAGACTCAGAATTTTAACCTTTTAATGACTTGTGAAATTTGAATATATAACGTTATCCTCATTAAGGAAAAGTACTTCATATTTTTAACATAAATAACGAAATTCTGTGACTCATGATTTGTAAATTGGTTTTAAAAACTATTTGCATCAACGAACAATTTAAAAAAAAGGAAGATATATGTCAGCGTTTATCATGATAGGCTATAGGCCATCATTTCATCCACCGCCGGTGGTTTTTTTTAACGTTTTAACAGCATTTTTAGTAAAAAACATGATCAGTGCAAGTTACTAAACTTCAGTACGTGTAAACAAAATAATTAAACAAAGATTCTAATTTACAATTTATTTCGTCTCATCTAAAACAAATGAAATAAAGACAAAAACAGTCCGCTTTTTCACGCAGTTTTTGTCAAAATTTGAGGGATTTTCGTCTTAATCATGATTCATATGACCGGAAAGAGGTTGCAACTTGTTAATAAATATTCAGTCGGTGTAAATAATGCGATCAACGGGACAGAGCGAGCGAACAGGGGAACAATGCAACCTCTGGACACTATGACCCAGATACCAAATTGGTGGTTATCTCAAGTGGATGATCGACCTAGACTTCTCTTACGTAAGTAAACAAGATTCCCCGACCTTTAACCGAAAGAGCGTAACAACGACGGCCTTCCATCTTGCCATTAATCTGGCTGGCTCCCTTGAAGGCGAGAATGCAATGCATGGCTGCAGGATGCTGCAAATTATTTCCAGATTGGGGATACGATCAAGATTGAGGAAACGGGAAAACACGTTTCGGATTTTGCACATTCTTTTAAAATTCAAACAGTGAAATTTGATTTTAGAACGAATTTTTTCATAACTAAAGGTCTCAGCTATAAAAGAGATTCATCTTCTAATAGGGGTGAATTTTGTCGAAACCTCACCAATTATTTATTAAATAATTATGATTTTTAAAAAGCAAGTTAACATCGACATCACCACAAAGGAAATGCGATTATTTAAGTCAGTAAATAAAGCAGAAATAAAAATTAGTTTCAATTTTTCCATCGGATATCAACAATATAAAAAAAAGGAAAAACCGACTTTAACCCTTCTAATGGAAATTTACGAAATCGAGGAAATATCATCAACATTATGAAAACAAAGGAAAAACGGACTTCAATCTGTAGACTCCAAGCATATATTACTATCATCATAACCTTCATAAAGACAATAAAATTTCTCGATCTTTCAATGGCCAACATCGAAAAAAAAAGGCACACATAAAGAATTGGTACATTTGTGGAGTTAGAGCAGATATCGTCATCATTCGTCATCACGAAGTAACATCATCATCATCATAACCATATAAGACCATCAGTTATAAGGAAAAGAACGCATTAAAAATGGCAGAGTTCGACCTGACAATAATCATCAAAAACATAATAAAATGACCAATACAAGGTCTTGCCTTAATAAATAGGACTTGAAAAAATTCATTGTTGATATCAGATATGAGAAGTTCGAGTCGTCATCATCATCATCATCATCATCATCATCATCATCACCATCAAATAGTTGGATATTTACATTATAAACATCTAAAAATAGGCAACACTTTAAGAATTTGTACGACATCAATCTATCAATTTTGGAGTTAGAACGTACATCATCAACATCACCATCATTAAATTGAAAAAAGACCTGATCTCTTCATCAATAATAAATTGTGTGGTGATGAGTGACCGTTAGTTCATGATTATTCGGAAATCGTGAGATGCGGGCTGGTGTGACGTAGGTTTCAGAAAAATATTTGCTTTATCGTGCCAACGTTTCGATCTTTATTGAGATCATCTTCAGGGCCTGGGATTTACAAACATTGTTTAAATTTAACAAATACATGTAGGATATGGAAAAAAGTGAATTTATACAATGCAAAAAAATAATCTCTTCATCAATAATAAATTGTTAACTTAACTAAAGTTAATAATGATTTGCTCAACTCTAGCTAACATTATCATCAAACGAGGAAAATCCTCTTTGACTTTAAAAAATGATGATTTTCGACCAGAAAACAATTATCCTCGAAATAGTAATACAATAATTTAAAAAAACTTAAATATACTTGAACTTTACTAGCTAGTCATCGGTGATGATTTAAAGTTTGAGCAAACATCATCGTCAGCATCGGAATCATCATCAAATTAAGAAAAAATGCGATCTCGTTATCATGAATAAATTGTTAACCTGACTAACAATTTGCAACAATTCAAGATGCCATCATCATAATCATAGTTTGAAGAAAAACACTGTAAATTCAAAACAGTTGCAGTTCGACCGGATCATCATAAATAGGAATGAACTTGACTTCTAACAATTCATTGATGATATGCAACCTTTAAGCAGACATCATCATCATCATGAATAGATTGTTAATCTTATTTTAATAAATTTGGTAATGATTTGTTGAATTCGAGCTAAAATCTTCATCAGCATACTAAACAATAACCTTTGCTTTAAAAATGGTTGGGTTCGATCAGTTATCAAAATCATAACAATATAATGAAAAATACTAAATCTTGTTACTGTAAAATGAGATAATTTGATTAATGAAACATTTCATTGATGATCGGTGAAATTCAAGCCGGCATCATCACAGAAAAAACACAAAAAGAGTTTGGGAATTGCTCCTTTTGCGGATTTTGAATGATGATCCAATATGAACTTTTGACGATTTTGTAATTATTTGTGGAGTTTGAACATCAAAGGAACAAATGGAAAACGTGTCGACAATTGCTTGTTGAAGTCGTAATCATTGTCAATTAAAGAAAAATAGTTTATTAAATTAAGTCTATATAATTAATAATAGATTATTTAACAATTCAATGATCATATGTGTAATTAGAGTGGACATCATCAAGATTGTCAGAAAAACCTCAGACGATTTGAGCCACTATAAACAAAACTGAAATGATTTGAATTGGACATCATCATCATTAGAAACGATACGTCCTAATATTTTTGACTATTACTGTAATTGAGGAGATCCAGAAAATATCGTAATCATCGTTGTGAAATAAGGAAAAATACTCCGGCTTTGGAAGTGTAACAATGATTTGGGAGTTCGAGCAGATATCATCGTAATCACCGAAGTATTAAAGAACCTCACATTTAACCTTAAACTATTTAATCATCAGAATCATCAGCAAAACATTTTTGTGTTTGTTTTGGAATGTACATTCTTAACATGGGCGTCAATATAGGATTTTATTGTTTATTAAAGGTTCGCAAACTTCCAACGAATACCATCATCATCCTAGAAACCACGTCAGATGTGTTTTTAAACTTAAATGGAGATTTAAATAAAATAAATCTTTGCCTTTGAATGAATGCATCTTTATGTTTGCCATTTAGGAAAAAAAACACCAGTCTCATCTTTTAAGATGATTCGCGGTTATTTTGCATGTCTGTGTAGTAGACCTTTCATCATCATCGTCAAAAGGAAGAACTTAATATCTTGTTAAACTTTAATGGAGATTTTATGAAAGTTTATCTTTGTCAGAGAAGAAAAGGCAGTCTGCTAGTTTTAAGATGATTTAGGTCTATTTTCCATGTCTTGAAAGATGTGAAAAGCTCTATTAGACCGTCATCATCATCGTCAAATAGAAACAACAGTGTAAGCTGTGTTCTATTGTAGCTGTTATCATCATCAAATATGGAAGAACCCGAGGCGTTTTGAAGTAAATCTACATGTATGTTTACGGAGTATGTTTTATAAGTCGGTAATAAATCTTCACAGGTGGTAGAGAAGGCCTTCATCATATAACCATCATCGGATGAGTAAAATACCTCAAACTTTTCTCATTTGTTTGGAAACCTGGATGCTTCAGGTGATATTTTCGTCAAACCTGGAAGACCAGAAGATGTTTTAAGTATATGTACATTTTATTTCGTCAGCGGATACCAAAATGTTCACAGTGGAAAAAGCTATGTGGAAAAGACCTTCGTAATCTTTTTTTGCTTAAATAATGAATATTTATGAATCTTGAACAGATATGATTGTGAAATAAGATAAAACTTAAAGTTTATTCTTTTTAAATCTTTTATCTAGACAATTTATGGAGGTATTTTATATGTTATCGCGAAGTTTTTTATAGTTTTTATAGTTAAAAAAAATTGGTATACTTCATATACACAATAGGGCATT